TGATTTATTTCTCTTGTTTTATTTCTTTTTGAAAAAAACTGATCTCAAAAATTAATTTTACTGTTTTCCTAGGCCTAATATGAAGATACAACACGAACATACACCAAAGAACAAAAAGGAAGTTGGACAAATGACGGCCCTACCTGCTGCTTGAATACCTCAGCCCAACACACACCTTTTAAATGTCCAACTAGGCCATAGTATCTAATGCGCGTCGACCCAAAGGCTTGCACCAAACAACGTTGACACTCCTTTTCCTTCACATACTATGACTCAAAGAGTACGATTCCCGCAAGAAAAAGGGCAGCAGTTCCACCCGTTGCTAGACCACCTCTCCCTATAAATAGAGGAAGCTCCCCCTCTTTAATTCTTCACACCACCACACGAAGCTCCAAGCAATATATGAGCCTAGAAGATCAAGACCCATCCATAAATGATGGTGAAGGCCAAAGAAGGATTCGTCAAGCAATGAGTGACGAGGAGGGCACCCACGCCATAAGCGAGGAAGGAAAGGAGCAAGAAGGGTGCCACGCCCCTTGAAGATAACATCACTGGTACGGAGAGAAGAGAACATGGATGATGTCCCATTAGCAAAGAAGCTCGAAGTTATGAAGCATCCATCCTAGAGTGGTACGATGGTCTATTAGAAGCTATTATTGATCGTGATGCCTTCCCAAAGATGCACCACTCCTGCTCTTCAAGAGGTGTGATGATGCTTTGCCACGAGTCACTATCTTTTAGTCTATTGAGGATAATGTACATTTTAAAGTATGGTGTGGGAATGTGTTAAGATGCTTTGCCTTGATATGCTTGACACTTTCTATATGACTAGTCGTTTAGCTTAGTATTTCATCGTTCCTCGACATATTTGACGCTAGTTTGTGCTTATTTTGATACATTTCAGGTCCTAGCATGTGTGGAAGGGTCGAGGACGAGTTTTGGGATATTTGGATGTCAAAAAGCGCAAAAACCGAAGAAAGTCTGAAGTCAAAGCCGCAGTTCACGACCGGATGAGGCAGTTCATGGTCTCCTAAGACAGTGAACTTCGACCACAAACCGTGAACATCAAGGCGTCCAACGAGGTTCCTGAAGTTACTGACGACAAGGCAGTTCACGGTCTCTAAGACTGTGAACTGTGGCCATTGACTGTGAACCCAGGATAGTGAAGCGGTGCGTTTTGGACGATGCTGAGTTTACGGACGCGTTTAGGTGTTCACGGCTGCGAACTTGCCAACGCGTCGGTGAACTGGTCACTTTCGGGCAAATATGAAAACAACAGCGGGGGGAGAGAGAGAGGAGCTGGTTTTTGGAGAAAAAACACTTTCATCCTCTAGGGTTTCAACCAAAACACCAAAGGGGAGTTCTAGTGAGAGAGAGAGAGAGAGCGTGCTAGAGTGATCTTGGAGCATCATTGGAGGCTTGGGTGGAATATTCAAGCCTAGAAGAAGAAGAAGAAGATCTTGAGCTCAATTTGTAATCCCTCTCTCTCTCTAGAAACTCACTCTTTTCTCTTAGGTGTTGTAGATCCCTAACTAATACTTTGTAATTACTTGTTTAGATTGAATGATTAAGTGTGGGTTTGTATCAATTTGAGTATTAGAGGTGTTTTCATGGTGAGTGTGCATGCTCGTTCTTAGCAATCTAAGGGTTGTGCATAATTGTGCTTAGCACCCTTAGGTTTGTGCATGTTGGTGCTAGCAATCTAATTAGCCACCTTAGCCTAGCTTAGAGAGGAAAATCCCCCTTTCAAGGGAGACTCAATCGAGTTGGTTTTCCTTCCGCTTTCTAAGCCACCTAAACTAGGTTAAGTTAGGGCAACCCTCACTATTAAGTTAAGCAAGTCGGTTAATCGCGATTAAGCCGTCCGACCTTAGAGTTGAGTGAGGGAGTAAGTCAACTACCGATTGTCTAAACCGAAAGGGTCGAGTGACACGGGCTTTCATGCTTACCTCGGTTTAGCAGTTGAGATTGTGGTCTCCGACCACATATTCATCCCTCTGCGGTTCGTGGTTACCAGTTTGCATCTAGGTTGGTTGCTATTAAGCCGCTCAAACTCCAGTTTGAGGGAAAGACCTAGGCAACCACTAGTGACTAAGTTAGAGGATCGATCCCGTGACAAATTGACCTCCAGTGAATCCATCCCGTGAAAAATGGATCACTAGTTGCTCCTCCTAGTGGTTCCCCTAGATCTGTTGAGTGGATCGATCCCGTGACAAATCGATCGCTAGTGATTTGATTCCGTGACAAATCGATCACTAGTTGCTCACCCCTGCGATTCACAACCACCTACACCGCACGACTCCATTCAATCCAACGAGTCATGGTAGCCAGTTAGGGGGAAGCAACTCCTGGGTGAAGCTCCCTTAGTTAGAGTTTTCCTTTATTTACTTTTTTTTTGCTTGGTTAGTTTGTAGTTCCAATAAACATAACCCCTAAAGTTGCTTGCTAGATAACAACCTAAGCGATTGAAGTAGGGGTACATGGACCGACCCGGGATGATAATTTAAATACTTGCTCTATACTGCACCCGGCTAGAGTTTAAAAACTTGGGCTTTAGTCGGGATTAATTTGTGGTGTAGTTTCGTGCGAGTCAAACATGTAAAGCAGTTACACATATGTATTATGTAAATCTTCTGAAATGATTAAACTTCTGCGTAAAACTTATGAAGGGATAGTTATTTCTTATATATAATTGAATAAACTTATAACATAAGTCTTCCATAATATAAGTTTGAATGAAAATTCGTGTATTATTAACTAAATTATTGATCATCTTTTCAATATGCATTACACAAAGGTTATACAATTTAATCAAAGGTGACACTTTTGCTAACTTAAATGTTTGATAATCAATTAAAATTTCTTCATTATTAACTAAAATATCCACCATGTCATCTAGGTCTGTTAATCGATCGACGGTTAGTCGGTTAACCTGAAAACTGAACCGAAAAAGTCGGTTATTCGGCTAACCGCAACCAAAAATAACTTTGTCGGTGGCGGTTGTGGTTTCTAGCAATGTCGTCCAACCTAACGGTTGTTAGTGCTAACCGATAAATAATCGATGCACCATGACTAACCGAGAGTAGAGCCTCCATTCACGACATCGAGACCTCTCTCTGCCTCTGCCCTCTAAAAATCACAACTCTCATCCAAAACCCTCCCTCTGCCCATCCAAATACATCCATCTCCATTGACGACCCCCAAATTCCCCCAGACATGCAACAAACACTAATCCCCAAATTTCTCCATACATGCAACGAACCCAATTGCGGCCGGTGCGCCGCCGGGCCTAAAGATTTTTCCGGCCAGGTGGAGCCGGCCGAAAAACTCTTTCGGCCGGCGGCGTGCCGGACGCAAAATTTTTTGCCGATCGATTTTTTTCCGACAGCTTGTTCGACGGCGGGCCAAAGACATTTTGCGGCCGGGGCGCCGTCGTGCCGAAAGATATTTTCGACCAGCTCCCCGCCTGCCTGAAAAAGTCTTCCGCCCGACGGCGCACCGGCTTCAAAAAATTTCGGGCCGGCGACGCACCTACGCCAAATTTTTTCCGCCCGGCCGGATTTTTCTGCAGGCGAAATTTTTTTATATAACGAAAATTAATTAATTAGTAATTAATTTGATAATTAATGTTAATATTCAGTATATTAGTTAATAGAAAATTAGCAATTAGTGTTAATATTTATTTAAATTGGTGTATGAATGTTTAATTACTTAAATTAGTTAATAGATAATTAATTAATTAGTGATTAATTAACAATTAATGTTAATATTGAGTACATTAGTTAATAGAAAATTAGAAATTAGTGTTAATATTTATTTAAATTGGTGTATGAATGTTTATTTACTTAAATTAGTTAATAGAAAATTAATTAATTAGTAATTAATCAACAATTAGTGTTAATTAATTAGTGCGCATCTAAGTATGACATTGTATAAATTTGTAGATAATTAGATATGGATTATGCGAGTGGGAGTGAGTTGCCTAGATTCGATCGTAGGAATGTTGATGCATCAACACGAAGGAAGGTGCCTAAGAAGAATAAGGAGAAGAAGCGCACTCGACATATTGGATATCAGTCAAGGGGCAGATTTAGGGGAGGATGAGTTAGAGGCTCCTGCTGTAGTTGCTCGTTCGGCATCACGGGCGTCTGGTTCCCATGGGAGGAAACAGGGTGCTGCATCGAGAGTGGTCTCGCCTAAGTTTGATCAGTACGCTCCTGATGATCAAGACAATACTGATGAGGATATCCAGGTCCCTCCACCCAGGCGTGGACATGGACGAGTGTCGTCTTCTACGGCAACATCACGTCCTTCTATGTATAGGGACCGAGCTGGGCGGTTCGTAGCACCTGCTCGTGAGGAGATAGAGAGCTCCGGGATTGGACGGAGTAGGGGAGGACATTCGAGTGGTCCTCGACCATGGGAGCTTGTTGGTGAGTGTCCTGGTGGACCTACGGATCCTAGCCTCATTATGAGCTTCTGTGGCCACGCTGTCTATGTGCTTTGGACGGGGATTGCAGATCGAGGGGTCATCAGTTGCTATAGTCGTACATCGGCGATTGAGTATCTGGTTAGCTACGTGTTTAGGCATGTTGATTCAGAGGATATGGTTCAGCAGTCAGGTCTCCAACGCCTGATCTACTCTATGTTCCGCAAGATAGTGATTGACGAGGCTATGATCTCAGCTTTTGTGGAGAGGTGGCAGCTAGACACGAACACCTTCCACTTGCCTGTAGATTCCTGTTGAGGGACGGCTTATGAGTAGGACTTCTGCGCACTGTGACCATTCGGAGGTGGGTTTGTGTGCGCTTCTTGGGATGAACTCGGAGCAGCTGAGTGGTTGGTCGGAGGCCCCTCGATATGTTAGTAGGGGTAAGTGGTATGAGAATGGTAGTTTTCTTGCAGAGATGGTGCCCAGATACTTGAAGGAGAACAGGACACATGTGACAGAGGCAAAGTCGTGCTTGTTGTTGTTGTTGTTGTTGGGGTCCACTTTATTAATGGACAAGAGAAGTGACAGGGTTCGTTCGGTGGTGAACCTATTTTTGGACAAGTTGGAGGAGGTAGATCATTATAGTTGGGCGTCAGGTACACTTGCTTGGTTGTACAGACAGCTTGGTCAGGCATCTCGAGCTGGTGCCAGAAGGTGGTTGGTTGTCTCACACTTCTGCAGTGTTGGATCTACGAGTACTGGGTGTCTTAGGGACACCCCTCCAGGGGATTTTTTAGTTGTTTTGATGTTCGAACCATTTATGATTTGTACTATTTGTGTTTAGATCGGATGTTGATGTTTAGATCGGATGTTTATTTTTAGATTGCATGTTTGCATATTTATGTTTAGATCGGATGTTTGACTTTTTATGTTTGGATCGGATGTTTGCATATTTCTACAGTCGTGATACCCCTAAATTGATATCCATCTCCATCCATAGATAATGGATGAAAAACAAGTCATGATTAAAACATCGAGGGTAGATAATAAAATCCATAAGTTTCCCCAAGAAATCGAGAGATTAGTTCATGGTGAAAAGAAAGAACATAAACAAGAAAGAACCCTATGCATTGCTCCTACCCCTACCCCTACCCCAAGCTCTTCGTGAGTCTCTCGGCCTGGCTCGCTGCCAACCACCAAGACTCTCAAACAAATTTTGTCCAACCTCGAGAATAACTATCCACTCCGCCACATTAGGATGTGCTAGCCCATGCCAAAGTGGATGCAGAGGGGGTATGGGAAACTGATCCTGGTTGAAGTACAATCGAATGTAGTGGTTGTTCACATAGTGCAGTGATAAGAACATGGTTGGTGGCAAAGTACATGGGTCCGCATTAATAGGCAATACAGTATAGGCATCATCGTAGCGAATGGGTAGTGGACGGTTTGCATTATTGAAATCATACAACTGGTACGAGAAGACCATGACTGCGATGTTGTAGATGTTGGCAAACACGAACAAGTCCTCAGAATCCATCCATCGCCCCGGTGGTGCATGACCCACCTCGAGCCAATTGATGCGTTGATTGTGAGCTATTGGGCCACCATTATACAAGTTCTCGTACTTCTAGAAATGTTGTTGGATTTCTTGGGAAACTGCTGATCTCATGAGCAGATAGTGACTATCATCCCCATAAATACAATGAGAAAGTGTCTGAAAACCACAATGGTCGTCTGGACTAGGGTTTAAATCGCCTACCAGCAAAGGTCGAACAAACTCTGGAAAAAGCTCCTCGATGTAAGGGTAAGAATATTGCCCTGGGGGGCTCTGGGATGAGTAATCTACAAAAATATACCAAACGGTCAAAATTACTTAGACAAAATTTATAAACATAAACCAACTACTATTAGATGGACTATAATGTTAAAACATTAGAGTTCAAACTCACCTGTATCATGCTCGTCGGATTCACCTCTACTCGATCTCCCAATGCCTCCACTCGATCGGGATTTGCCTCCAGTCGATCGGGACCTGCCACCAGTCAAACCATGCCTACTACTCCTCGAACGAGACCGCTCATAATATGAACGAATGCGACTGGTGCTTGTTCGAGGCCGCCCTCATGGATCCTAATTCACTTCCGGTTCCCTCACATTGTCCTATGTTGGGTGAAGCCCATAGAATATGGCATCTTTTCCTTGTCTCACTGCTTTAGGACCTCTTTCTTCCACCTCAACAGTAAGACGCCTAAAGTGTTGTCGTTGAAGTCAATTTCAATACTGACTTGTTGTTGAAGTGGGGGGTTTTATAATCCAGAGTCTGCCAGAATACATGCAACTCTTGAGCATAGAATTGACGTGGTTCATTCACCACTTCCAGAAACTGATATTCCATGTAGTTGTGGTTCTTCGCAAAAAAAGTGTCAAACTGTCAATCGCTCCTCTACCAGACACAAGGAAAGTCTTGGATGAAGAGTGAGATGACTCAACTCTATTCGAGCTCGTGTTACCAAGATGAAACACATGGTTCGTGTAGCACTTTGCCCACATTGCCTGATGAGGCAACCTCACCTCGCACGTAGTCGACCATATCTATGTTCTTCTCTGTCCACACCCTCTCAAACTCATTAATCTTTTGAAGAAAACCCTCCTGAGTCCAACTCCATGCAGCTTTGTCGAAATAGTTTTTCCATACCGCTTGTGCTACCTCTCTTTGTGCAATTCCACCCAATAATTGCTCAAACTTTTTCTTCACGCAGTTGTTGACGTGCCATGAACATAGTAGGTGGACAGTATGTGGGAGAGGGAAGACCACAGGAACAGAAGCAAGCAGACCACCTTCTTTGTCTGTCACAATGACATTCAGAACCGTATCACCGAGCAACCCTTTAATACATCGCAGCAGCCACTCATATGTTTCCTTTGTTTCCTTCTTCATAATTGCACATGAAATGTTGAAATTCTTTTTGACTGGAGTAACCCCAATAATCTCAACCCATGGGGCGTCGTACCTGTTCGTCTTGTAGGTCGAGCCGATGAGGATGACGTACGGCCATGCATGCAACATCTGAATGGACGTCGGGTGGGCAAAAAAGATATTAGTGAGCACATTATTAGCGTCCTTTTGCAAACAGATATGGTACCCACGCTGTTCAGCTCCGTGAAGCTCAAACTGTATCGCATCCATTTCACCCATCTCATCCAATCGTGCCTTGTAATTTCTGTTGTACATCTGTTTGATATCATGATGCACACCCCCTTCAGTATTGAGTGTCATCTTCTGCTGATTTGGTCTCACCCCCGCCTTCCTCATTAATCTTAACCTCTCTTTTTCAGCCTCATTAAACTGTTTGTTGTGTCGGTGATGTTCTGGATACAACAGCTTTTCATGGTTGTGAAACCCTCTATTAGCTCCGGTTACACGACTTGTCACTCCTACTATGACCCATGAGTTTGGACCATTCTCTTGCCATACTTCCTTAATACATATCTGAAACTGGCAACCAGTACCCTTCGAACTAGTATTCCCACGCGTCTCCTTCGTAGAGTCTGGTTTATAAGACTTAACGATCCTACTGTTTCTGTCGCAAAACATACAGAGGGAAGTAACAGGATGTAGTGCTGCAGTATTTGGTTTCCATGCTCCTATAATAATAAAGAACCCACACTCCTGAGCGATTGCTTATGCAGCTAACTCAGCTAACTCCACACTTGCATAATGAATCTCATTCTCAAATTCTTGTGTGTAATCATGATCGGTCGGTAACCACTCTGACATTTTTTCTACAATTACAATATAACAGATCAACATTCCTGTGAACCTAAACGCTAATTTCAAGTCTTAACCGCTAAATTCAACTCCTAAACTCTAAATCAACTCTTAAATGCTAAATTCAACTCCTAAACTCTAAATTCAATTCTTACACGCTAAATTCAACTCCTAAAATCGAATTTTTCTGAAAAAAATCCAAAGACAGATGGCGGGCCGAAAATTTCCGGCCGCCGAAACCAGGCCGAGTCGTCGGAAATCGGTGGCTGGAGCCAGGATGAGCCGAAAATTTTCGGCTCCGGCCACCGATTTCCGTCGGCCCGGCTTCGTTCAGGCCGCCAGAAATTTTCGGCCCGGCCGCCGAAAAATTTCGACCCGCCATCTGTTCGTTGGAAATCGTCGGAAAATTTGTTTGAAACTACAAAAAATCGACGCACCTGCTTAGTGATGATTCAAGGATGCGTGTCCGCATTTTACGTCGAGGTTCGGCTTTCCCGATGATTATTCGGCAAGCGTCGATTTTTTCTGATTCAATACGTTTTCTGAAAGTTGGATATGTTCTAGACTGTGAAACTCCTTTACCAAAGATGTATATATATTCATTTTATTTTATTTTTTGTTGGCGGCAAATAGCAACCTGGTTGACGGCAAATAGCATGCCCCAAGGGGGATTGGGGTTGCGTGATATGAAATCTTGGAATTTAGCATGTGTAATCCGTCACATTTGGGAAATATTGATGCAGCAGGGCTCCTTGTGGGTTGGAGTGTGGCGGTGGTTGCTGGTGGCGGCGGTGGTGCTGGGTGGCGCGACGGCTGCGGCGAGGATGTCTTTTGGCTGCGGCGATGGAGGCTTCAGAGGAGGCAGATGGAGCAACTAGGGTTTGGAAAGCCTCACTTATTCTTGGGTCCGGGTCTGGGCCCTATTGGGTGCCGGCCCATTTGTGTTTTTCGGGCCTTTTGTTTGGTTTTCTGATTCTTGTTGTTTTTTTTCTGCTTGTGCTTTTCCATATGGGCTTGGCCCGATCGCTTTCTTAATGAACAACTCTTTAAAAAAAAACTCCTTGTGGGTTGATTGGATCAGGTTGCATAAGTTGAAGGGTATGGATTTTTCGAGTTATGCAGGGAAGTCAAGGTCATGGAACTGGATGAAGATTCTGAAAATTATAAGTAAGGTGCAGGCAGATTTCAGCAGTAGAGTGGGTGAAGTGATGTGGAATGGGCAACCTATTCCATGTTTTCGAATTAAGAATGTTTGGGAGTCTCTCAGGCCTAAGGCAGTTAAGGTAACGTGGAGCAAGCTTATTTGGAGTGAGCCAGCCATTCCAAGGAATCAATTCCTTGCCTGGTTAATCACTAGAAATGCTATTCAGTGGGGTTACACAGGTTGCTCTTTATGTGTTTTTTGTAAGCAAGAACTGGAAATTCTTGGCCAGACCTGGCAAGCTGAATTTTGTTGGGTGTTAACTGTTAAGGTCGTTCAAGGGGAAGAGTATGGAGGCAGCAAGAGGGAGATTGTTATGGGCCTCATTGGTGAGTTGGATTTGGCGGGAGAGATGTTTGATAGCGTTTGGTAGTGATAGACGAAGTTTGTCTATTTTGTCCCAGCTCATTATTAGTGAAGTCGATACTAGAGTAGCAGGAATGATCTTTGTGCAAATCTTGCCTAGTTGCCAAGGGGTATTGCCAAGGTTTTGGTTTTTGATTAAATATAGGAATACCGTTCATAAAAAAAGAGAGAGAGAGAGAGAGAGAGACATAGCTTTAATTGAATGAATGAAACTAGAAAGAAAAACCTCTAAATAAAAATTACCAAAGATTATGATAAATCAAATATATAGATTGATAATAAAGAAAAGATAGTTTAGTAAAATACAAATGTACAACAGTTTACTAATCCCCAATTTTTGCACATAAACAAAGACGTTATGTATTATCTATTATTAATTATGCATAAAAATTGTGGATATATTGTACTTAAGGGTCTCGTCAATAGAAATTGCTAGAGAATTGCAGTGATGGAGATTTTTTAGAATTGCTAAATGAAAGTTATTGATGTGACTGTGAGGACCATTTTA